GTGCGTTCAGAGGAGAAGGGACAGAGAGGTGTGGAATAAAGGTAAATTATGTGAAAAATAATGCGTTTTTTAACAAACTAAGCATTAACACATGTTAGACTGCCCCCCATAAACACAATCAAGCCTATAAAAAAAACAGTCAACCACCCCTTTAAGTAACTTGTGCATTGTTTTACTTGCTTGTTTTTGACGTATCCGACCGAACTACAAACTTTCCAGTGATGTCTGTGAGAAAGGTATAGTCACTCGACAAGCTCGCACATCTGCGCCGCCGCGCGTTCAATCCACTCAGTGTGCTTTGTTTATCAGCTCACGCACATCAGCTATACAGGCGTTAATACTGAATGTTTAACGTTATATTCATTGCATACATATACTTCGTAGTATACATCCTTAACTCCATTCTGTTGTTCTGTTGTTGGTGTTTCTTTGTTTGAATATGGCGCTTATCACATGCTGTGTGGTATTGGCGTTTGGTATCGGGGCATTTTAACGAATACGAGTATGAGTACAGGAGACCAGTATCGGTGCATCCCTACTTTCCAACAATGACTGTATGATTTTGAGATCCATCTTTTCACACTGAGGACAGCTGAGCGACTCATACACAACTATTACAAAAGGTTCAAATGCTCACTGATGCTCCATAAAGAAAAACAATATTTCATAATGTTGGTGTTTTCAGTGTATTTTTTATCAAATAAATGCAGCCTTGGTGAGCATAAGACACTTACATTAAAAAATCCTACTGACCCCAAACCTTTAAACAGTAAGTGTGTATTGTCAACAACAATACGTTTTAATTAAAACCTTTCTGATTATCATCATGATGCACATTTTTGGTCTTGTCTTCATTATGGTTTCCAGAGGTTTTTTTTTTCAACATTAACACTGCATAGGAGTGAAAGACTGTTCATGTTACTGTTTTGTTTTGCATGCACTGTGTATTTCAGAGTGTATTGATACGGTTGAGTGGTTAAGTGATTGTTTAGTGTTTGTGTTTGAATAATGTGTATAACCATTGTGTGTGTGTGTGTGTGTGTGTGTGTGTGTGTACCCCGCCTGCAGTTCCAGTCCCTGTCTGTGCTCACTATTTGCTTCCTCTGAGACGAGATCAATGATTCCTCCTTCTAGCTATCCATCAGCCTTGTAATAGAGAAAGAGAGAGAGAAAAAGAAGGAACCGAGGAGGCATGTGGGAGGGATGAGTAGATTGATAGAGGGATTGGACTGGGAGTGACGCTACACTAGTAGAGAGATGATGAGGGGATATATGGAAAGAGGGATTTGAAAAGAGAAGTGTCTCTGCATCTGTTTGAGGCAGAATAAATCTTTACCATGCTAGATCTGTGTTTTCATTTTATATCGATAACAGCCCTGCATTCATACATTTATCTGCTTTAGTCAGAGGCAATAGCTGTAAGTAGGTTTGAGCTGGAGGAATAGTCTGCTGCCTCCGCACCCCTCCGACTGACACTATCTGTCACATGATCATGCCGAGTGAGAAATTATTACCGTGCTTGCCAAGACTCATACTTAGGACTACAAATTTGACAAACCCCTAACCCTGAGTGTTTCATTTTCGACATGCAGTCTGTGCCACACCAATTGAAATTGCTACAAGCATGAATAACAATTCAAGTCATGTGTATTTTTGAGGAGAGTTTGATATTACTTGGAGATTTGTAGACAAAGACAGAGAATTCACCAGTGTACAATCACCTAGTATCATGCTACAAAACACTTAATTCCACAAACCTTGTAAACTTCAAGTCATTTGATCCCCTGAAGTGTGAATTGTATGCATTAAAAAAAGCATCTCTGATGTACTAATGTTCTCGGTCCTTATGAATGCGAAACGGTCAAGACATTGCTTCTTTCACTGGATGCTCACAAGTTAGCGACTTTAAATCCTAGATATTAAACCCTTCTAAACTGTTTCTAATTGGTTGCTATGTCATAATAATAAAGTATCTTCTCTTTGTATAATTAGTGTGATGTGGGTTTTATTTAGTAAAATGTCCTTACCTTGTTTATGTTCCATTTTAATTTGTTTATTTATTTATTTATTTATTATTTATTTATATTGTGATATCATTAATTTACATTTTATTAAATTATATTTTTAAAATATAATTCTATAATAGGATTACAGAACATAATTAAGTAGAAGTTACTATGTAAGCATAAGTAAATGTGTATTATTTTAGTAAATATTATGTAAAATAAATATTTGTTTTGTTATACAGTACTGTTCAAATGTTTTGGGGAATTTTTTTAATGTTATGATTTTAAATATCTTACGCTTACCAAGGCTGCATTAATTTTGTGAAATATTGTTGCAATTTAAAATAACTGTTATCTATTTAAATATATTTTTACATTTTAAATTTAACCTATTCCTGTGATACAAAGCAGAATTTTCAGCATCATTACTCCAGTCTTCAGTGTCACATGATCCTTCAGATATCATTCTAATATGCTGATTTGCTGCACAAGAAACATTGTTGAAAGCAATTGTGCTGCTTAATATTTTTGTGGAATCCGTAATACATTTGTTTTCGGGATTCCTTGATGAACAGAAATATCAAAATATCAGAATTAATTTGCGACATAGACCTTTTGTAACATTATAAATGTCTTTACTGTCAGCTTCTCAGTAAATTTTCCAGTGTTCGGATCAACTGCTACAGCGTTAGAACCGATGAATGCGGTTAACAAGAGAAAAATCAGTCCTCAACAAAACTTCAACATTAAAATTAAAGTTTAATTTTGAAGGCTTTGCACTCTGGAGGTCGCATTTTTCAGCCGCTTAGGCTGTTTCAGAAAAGTAACCATTATAAAATTGCCAGTTATTCCTAGTAAGGTGTAAATTATTGTAATTTCTTTCTTACTTTGTAATGTATTGGTTACTTTTCTGAAATGAGACAGCTTTAATGATATATGCAGGCGACAGTGTGACCTCAGGAGGGCACAGCCTTCAAAATGAGACACAGTGAACAGCTGCGATACAAAAGGCCTCAGTAGGAGGCAACACAAACAGAAATACATGAGGAAAAAAAACTCAGTGTTTTATAGAAAAGTGACTTGATATGTTGATGGAAATAACAGATGATTTGCACAGCACAGTAACGAACCTGTGACACATGTACAGCTACACACCCACCGCAGGTGTAGTGTGCAAACTCAAAATACAGCAGTTAAAAGTGTGTGTGTGTTGTTTGTTTGTTTTAGGGATGTAAAAATAACTATAAAAAGTTTGTCTAAATTATTGAATAGATAATAGAATACTGACACGCATTATAATCTCAGTTTATTGTCTTCAATCTATAGTATATTATATTATATTATCTCTAATTTCACCTTCAAATTAACTGCCAATCCTAGAGATTCACATACTTTTGCCACTCACATATATGTAATATTGTATCATTTTCCTGAATAAATAAATGACAAAGAACATATTTTTGTCTCACTTGTTTGATTGGGTTCTCTTTGTCTACTTTCAGGACTTGTGTGAAATTTTGTTTAGTTTTGCGTCATATTTATGCAGAAATGTAGAAAATTCTAAAGGGTTCACAAACTTTCAAGCGGCACTGTATGTATATATATATATATATATAATTGTATAAAGTCAAAATTGCAAGAAACAAAAGTTGCAATTACCTTTATACATTTTTATTCAGTGAAAGAAACTGGCTTCCATACATAACAGCCCATTCACTTGAGAAAATGTAAAAACTAGATCCTTCAGTTGACTGATGGAATGATCACTGACTTTTTATTAAACACCTCTCTCTCTCTCTCTCTCTCTCTCTCTCTCTCTCTCTCTCCACACATCTTAATAATCGCACTCAATGTGTGGTGGTGGCTGGGTCTGATGTTTTTCCTGACCCCTGTCCACCCTGTCCAGAGTACCTGGAGATCCAGTATGAATGTGTACCATACAGTGAGTAACGTCACAGACACTCCATCCCAACAGCCCCA